GTCCTCAGGCCCCCATGTCAACCTCCTAGATCAGAAACTCGGGGGAAGTGTTCCCTACCCCCTCCCCGCCCCCATCCCTCACTCTGTCTGAACAAGCCCTCCAGGGATCATGGTGCACACTGAGTTTGAGAGCCACTTATTCCTCATCCTCAACAACCCCTTGAGGATGCGTAGTGTTATGTCCCTGTTGTGTAGGTTGAGGGGGTTCAAGTACAGAGATGTTGAACAACTTCTCCGTATGCTATTCAGGCATTCAGTAAGCAGCGTCCATTCACTAGGGGCACCTTCTTGCTCTCGTTGGATGCTCACAGTGACCCAGCGCAGTGCCCATTTTTAATCTCCATTTTATAGGCAAGCCGGGAAGGCCCAGGGACATGAAGCGATGTTCCACGGTCACATACATAGCAGCAGCTCAGCTTTGACGTGGCAGCTCAAACCGGATCTCTTCACTCTGGTTGGGTTTTCCCCACAAAGCCACCCCCGCCTCTGTCCCTGGCTGTGTGCTTCTCCCCAGCCGCCTGTCCCCTGGGAGGCCTGCCTCCCCTCCCCTCGTCCCCAGCATGGAGGTCTGCCGCTGTCCTGCCGCTGAGCCTGACTTTTCACAGCACAGGTACTGGTGCTGCAATGGGTTTCCCCTCTCTCCTTGCCGGCAGTGTCCCCGACAGGACGTGCTCGCACTCAGTTGTGCCCCAGACAGAGTGCCTCGCAGGGAGTACCAGGCCCTCTGGGTCCTGTGGCTCCTAGCGTTCCTGGGGGCAGCACAGCTGGGCACAGCACTGATTACTTGTGCCAGGCTCACACCTTGCCTGCCATCCCTTAGTTTCTTCTGGATTTCTTTTGGGACTCTTTTTTCCCCCTGCATCCCTATTTGAAAAAAACCCCGTGGGAATTTTTCTTGTGTGTGTTGGGGTGGGGGCAGGGGGGTGCGGAACACAGAGAATGTTCTTTTTCTGGTTCCGGTGAAGGCTAACAAGCAGAGAGCTACAAATCCCAGCTGGCCCTGAATGTCAGGAGTGACGGTTGCCCTGGTGGAGTCACTGGAATACCCTCTCCTCCCTGCCGATCCCTGGCATCCTCTTGGTCTAGGTGGCTCAGGCTACTCTGGCTTGCAAGGACACTGAGCTCGCCGGTCTGCGGAGCCTTCCCGGTCTCTGATGGGGTTGTCTGGGTAGCGGTCGTTCTCCCTCTTCACTTGGCCCTGGGGGACTGATTCACGTTTCTGTCTTCTGAGCACAACACAGGGCCTGGCACATTAGGGACTCCAGAAACGCCTGTGTCAGGCCTGGATCCTTCTTCCAAGTCCTAGAAGTAAACATCACCCACTTGGCCCTAGTTGTCTACGTCATGTCTTCAGGTACAGCTCGTGGATGTGTGCTGAGCACCAGGGTCAGGACTGGAGGGAGTGAGCAGGATGCTCTGTGGGCTTCCTTAGAAAGAACCTGTGGTTCATGTGTCTGAGAACTTTGTCAAGCTGCTTAAAATTTATAAACACAACTCACACATTCTCCAGTGTAATTCTGTCGGTGCTCTCCTGCCTCGTTTCACCTTCGGGATCAGCAGTTTATCTCTGAATGCCTCAGAGCCACCTGTGCTTCCCTTCCAGCCACCAGGACTGATGCAGGGCTAAGGAAGGGTCACTGGAACTGGTCAGGCCCTAGAAGGAAACTGATGGCACACACAGACGAGCTGGGAAGGGTTTGAGGCAGGGCCACAGGCATGGGAGCCAGTGAGGGTGGTGGAGCGCCCTAGAGAGAGTCACTACAACCCCTGGGCCCATAGGGCACGAGGCAGGTGGCCTTAAGGAGCCCAAGAGAGCCAGAACTCTGGGAGAGGGTTTCTGAAAGGCGCAGGGGATCTGACCTCTCTTTCCACCTGCCATCAGGCCTCCCAGTGACCAAACTCAACCAGAAACCCGAGGCAATGGGAGCCCAGTTATTCATTCTGTAAAGTCAGGAGCTCAGGCATGGAGCAAATTAGGGGTACCTGTTTGGGGCAGGAGTGAATTGGAAGAAGAGTGAGTTTGGAGGAGCAGGTAACATCATCACCCCCGACCCCCATCCAAGCTTTGTGACCAGTAAAGGCAAGTATGACATCCATATAAAATATAAGGAATTCTTGTGAGGGGACAGTGGTCACTGAATCTGATATTCAGACCCGTCACTCTGATGAGAGGAATGTCCCAGTAGTTGTGGCCATTGGTCGGTCCTCTTTAAGTCACTACATTCAAACACTTAAAACCTGGACTTCGTAGCTTCCGAACCAAGTTATCATGGTGAGACCATATTTGTGACTCTGCTCTTTCAAGGAGCGTTCATCCCTGTCCCCTGTTCACTCCGAACCCCAGCCCCCGACCCATTCTTGGCATTCACTCCCGGCCCCACAAAAAGTTGGGACCATCCAGAACTCCAAGGCATGTTCACGGCACTCCCGATTTTCTGCATTCCCGGGGAACAGGGCCTGGGCTCTGCGGCTCCAGATGATGAATTTATTCATGGTGGCAGGTGTATTGGACGAAACTGAAGAGTTTGGAAAATTATGTAAAATGTTTGCGAATGTGCACACTTGTGCTTACATCTAATGGGCCCATTTTCAAAAGCCCCTGAACCCTGAAGCCCAGACAAAGTTTGATATCTGGGAGGCCGTGTGTTTAAATATTTGTGATTCCAAAGAGCCTGATTCAGCTTTTATGCATTCTTGTCCCCTTCCTGGCTATGTCTCCCACGTGTAGGCGTTTTCCTATTCATTTCCTTCGTGATTTAAATGGTAACAGTGGCATTCCGCTTTACAGTCTCTCATGCTGAGTCTTTGGGAGATGATATCCAGAGATAAGCGATGGTGTCTTCGTTTTACAGGTGGAGAAATTAAGATATGCATAATATGGTCTAATTATTTTTTTAATTTTTTAATTTATTTATTTGAGAGAGAGAATGAGAGAGAGGGCATGAGATGGGGGAGGGTCAAAGGGAGAAGTAGACTCCCTGCCAAGCAGGGATGACCCCCCCACCCCCTGATGCAGAACTCGATCCTGGAACTCCAGGATCATGACCTGAGCCGAAGACAGTTGCTTAACCAACTGAGCCACCCACGCGCCCCAATATGGTCTAATTTTATGTGAGACAAGGTTGGGTTGGTAGCTCGTGGGTCTGAGTTCCCCACACGCCCTCATGCTTCTTTCTGGAAGCTGAATTTCCTCACAACAGCCCTGTGAACTTTGGGGCAGGGTAGTTCTCTATTGTGGGGGCTGCTTTGTGCCTCGTAGGAGGTCGAGCAGCATCTCTGGTCTCTGCCCACTTGATGCCATAGCCCCGCACATCCCCAGGAGTGACCACCAAAAAGGACTCCAGACAGACTTTGTCCGATGTTCTGGGCAGGGCAGGGGGGATGACTTTTGCCTCCTATTGAGAACCACTGGCTTCCAGCAGAGGAATTTTAAATCCTGGCCATCAGAGACTGTGAGTTAATTGGTCTGAGGTGGGGTTGGGGCACAGGGTGTAGTTTAAAAATCTTTCCGGTGTTTCTGGTATGTTATAAGGATGAAGAATCTCTGTTCCAGAGTTTGAATCCCACCTGTCTAAGCCCGAGTAACTTCCCTTGATGATGTTGTGGGTGGGGTGGTGAAGCAGGCCTGGGAGCCAGAGGTCATTGTCCTGAAAGCCTGTAGGGGAGAGGCCAGGATATCAGAACTGCATTTTTCTTCCCTTCCCTTCCCTCCCCTTCCCTCCCCCTTTTTTTTACTTTTTACTTTAAAGTAATTCTAGACTCCTAGGGAGTCGCAAAAGCGGTGCATAGAGTCAACAGAACTGTGTTTTGAACTGGCTGATTAGAATAACAGAGGTCCAGAAGCTGTGCCATTGGGAACCAAGGCTGTGAGTAGTTTCATTAGGTATTGGGTGCTGGAGGGAAAGTACTTGTTCTGCAGTCCTCCCAGGACAGAGCAAGGTGGGGTGGGTATTAGGCTGGTTTCAAGTCAAGGAAGGCTGCACATCAGTAAAAGATACATCGAGAGGTGTGAACCTTTCATTCTTGGAGCTGTTTTGAGAGGCTGGATGACTTTCTGTATGGGCTGCACTAGACCAGGGCTTCTCAATCTCTGTCAAGTTGCTGAAGCTCAGAGGGTAGCCCAGCCTGAGGGAACCAGCCCTGCCTGGTAGCCTTGAGCTCTCGCTTGAAGAGATAAGCGACTTTGTATCCTATAATTCACGTACAGCCCACCGGGGTGCCAAGGGACCTCCCCTTTGGGAGGCTCAGCTCTAGAGGTCATCTCTGCTGTGATTGGAAGGCAGTGTGCCGAACACCACATTCTGCTCTTGGTATTATCCCCTTCCGTACTCCATGACCTCCTGCAGGACGTGCCATGGCCCCTGTATTACTCTGAGTCACCTGATGCCACCACTTTCCCATGGTCACCCTGAGCTAAAGGACAGAGTCAGAGGAGATGGGCCATAAGGTTCCCTTTAATTCTGCCAGTCTTCAGTTCCTAGAATGATGTCCCAGCTGGGGCCCTTTTTATAGATGTACCCTTATAGACGTTCCCATTGGTCTCTTGGCCCAATCAGGCACCCTTAATCTGAGACATCTTGCAAGAACATTTCCCACCTCCGAGCCACTGCTTCTCAGTCTAAGACCCCTGACTATCAGTTCTTCCTTTCGGAATGTATTTCTTTCTTCTCTCTTGTCACCCGTTGTCACGGTCTCCCAGCGTGGGAGTAGGAGACTCACCATTTGCCTGTTTGAGCCAATTGCCCTTTCTCTAGTCCCCAAAACGTAATTGCAAAGAGCCTTAACGATTGGTTTCCAAATGATGATTGCTCCATAAACTGATTAAAAGGGCCTTAATAAAACCATCTCAAGTTATTTTCCACAGCTGCAAACTATGCCCTTTGTTTTCTAACGATCCCCATAAGAGATCAGGGTGATTTTTCTTTTCCACATGGTCTGAAGCACCAGGAAGGCCCTCTTCCATCTGTCTGACTTCTTGCCCTGTGTTCTTTGCTTCCCAGACAATCCACGTTGCTATCGTCTGTGCCGGGTATAATGCCAGCCGCGACGTTGTCACCTTGGTCAAGTCTGTCCTGTTTCACAGGTAAGCGTGGCCGTGGTACCCTGTGGGCTGGTGCGTGAGGCTTGGGCGCGCAGCTTGTGCATGTGACTCGTGCATGTGACTTGTGTGTGTGACCGCCAGCCTGCACGCTTCCTCGGGGGCGGGGTATAGAAGAGCAACATTTCTCATCAGTCATTGAAGCTGCCGTGAAAATGTGATTTTTGTCTGAACCCTGGGGGAGATTATTGTGTTAATAATGTTTAACAGAAGCAATGAGGTGTTGTCCCACAATGTTTAGGATTGTAGCTCTTAGACCTAAGGGGACCCTTTAGGGACACTCCAAATTTGAGGCTTCCATTTCTTCCTTGGCCTTCCGTTGCCTGACAGTCACCAGACCCCTCTGTGTACACGCCCCTATTGATAGGTTGTGTGATGGACTGAACAGTATCCCCGTAAAATTGATCTGTTGGAGCCCTCGCCCCTAATAACTCAGAATGCGAACTGTATTTGGAATTGGCCTTTAAAGGGGTAATTCAGTTAAATTGAGGCAATTATGAATGGACTGTCTAATATGACTGGTGTCCTGATAAGGAGGGGAGATTGGGAGACAGCCTCACACAGAGCAAAGACCCATCTCCAAGCCCGGGAGGGAGGCCTCAGGAGAACCCAACCCTGCAGGCACCTGATCTCAGACTTCACCTGCCAGAACCACAGAAACTAGGTTTCTGTTGTTTAAGCACCCCCAGTGTGTGGTATTTTGTTAGGACAGCTCTAGCAAACTGATAGAGGTTGCTTACTCTATTCCAACGTAGCCTGTCCCACGTCTGGGCGTTTCTAACCATCAGAAAGTCCTGTCTTATATTAAACCGAAGTTTTCCAGCCTGTAGCTGCTGTCTGTGGGTCCTAGTGGATTCCCATGGAAACGGCCCTACGAACAATGGGGTCCTTTTCCACCTGGAAGTGATCTGCCTCTCCCGAGTCATCTCTTGTCCAAGTTAAACTCCTGCCACTTGCTTGTTCTTTTTAACAGGGACTTTCTTCTGTTTTCACTGTTCAGCTTGATGGATATCTAGACTTACTGACGGTGTATCCAGAATTGAGTCTGTAGTTCCAGCCAGTGTCCTTGGCTCTGTTCTAACATTCTTACCAAGGGTTTAGATGAAGCTTATTCGTGGCTGTAGCCAAGATCCAGAAGGTTCTGAGCAGTAGGAACAGTGGTGAAAAGCTCTTAGAGCTCAACAAACCAAAGATCACTGTGAAGTTAATGCCCAAATCTAGCGGTCAATGGCCGCAGCAGAGATGGGAGGTGTGGTGGGCACCCAAGACCGGCAGGCCATGCAAGAAACTGACTGACTGTTGGTTCCACTTTCTCTCTCAGACCCCCACCCAGCCCCTCTGTGATGCACTTGGGCGTTTTCCCTCTTCATAGTGTTAATTTCTTCCCTTTCTCTTCATCCCTACTGCACCTGGCACAGTTAAGGTCTGCATGTTCTCTCTCCTCCACCAGGCCTTCCAGTCCCCACAGGGCCAGCCTCCAAGGCCAGGTGGTATTTCAGAAAGGCAAATCTGATGTCTTCAAACCTTTCATTGGCTTCTTGTCATGGAGGGGAGAGAATCGAGTTTTTTTACCATCAGGTTAGAGACCACACAGACCCGTCAGGGCCTGCTGTTATTCTCAGCATGCTTTCTCTCTCTTCCCCTTGCTGGGGCTTTACTTTCCAGCAACACTGACCTGCTCATAGGTCACCCTCTTTCACCCTCTCCCGGGTGTGCCCTGCCTGCTGTCGTCCCCATGCCGCTCTGTTTGTCCCTTCCTCACCTCCTCCCTCCTTTTTCCCCCTCCCAACTTTGCAAACTCCTTATCCTTCTAACAGGAGGCCCACCAGTACCGGTCATTCTGGGCTAGGGCTCTGCCTTCTCCCAGCCCACAATACCCTGTGCATCTTTTTATCACTGTACTTAGTACATTGTCCTTTATTTATTCACGTTGTGTCTTCTGTAGTAGAATATGGGACTTCTGGGGACAGAAAGCATGCCTTAGATTTCTGGATTCTCCGTATCTTAGGGAAGGACTTCATAAGTGTTAGATGCTCAGTCAATGTTTACTTGTTTAACTAGTGAATCTGGGAAACTTCATTAATAAATAACCTGAAGATCTATTTATTCAACCAGTTAACGAATAGATCTAGCTCAGACCTGGTTTGATGACACACTCATACCACTCTATACTGAGTGACTTTCAGCAGGTCATTTTAACCCTTTAGACTTTAGTTCTTAGGTCACTTAACTTTTGCTGTGAATCCGTGCACCCCAGAATTTATTAGGTTGAAGACAAAATTTATTTGCTCAGTTGTACTGAACCACCCGGTGGGTCTTTTCCTGGGTGCCCTGCTGTGCTTATAGTCAGCAAGCAGATTTGCTCCCCACCCAGGAGTGGGGGGATTCCCTGCCTCAACCCCCCCCAACCCCAGAGTGGGGAAAGGGGAGAAATGAGTAACCACCAAGTAGAGAACACTGTCAGCTAGTGGTAGGGGCTCTCCGTTCCCTCCTCTTAGCCTGTGCAGTTGGCATTGGGATTTCAGCTGCACGTCTCAGAAGGAAATGTAATACCAAATAAATAATGACGAAGCAGGGCTCAACCTCACGTCTTTGACATAAGGTGAGAAACCCTTTGTTCACCACCACCGCCCCTGTGCCATTTTTGAGACTCCCTGTGGTTCTGCAGCCTTCATCTGCTGTTTGAAACCAGGCATTTTGTCTTCTGAATTAGAGGAGTGGCTCTCAACTTTTTTGTGTTTATTTCTTGTCACCACGAAAGAACTCGATCCCTCCCTGATTGGGGGGGCGCCCCCTTTTTAGAAAAGAGCATGTGCATGATTACAGATAGTCACTTGTGCTGTTTCTCAATTATGGCATATTTTAAAGCCATAAAAATGTTCGGTGTTGTTGGGCATAAATATTATCGCTATTGCTTTAGCTACATATCAAATAATTCCAGTAGTTGCTGAAACCCTGAGGAACCCCATTGAGTGTAAACTTTTACTCCTACAGTCACTGTGTAGCACAAAGATGTTACATTTAAAAATAGCAGGTTTATAACTGGCCCCTGATGGCATGCCATGCTTTTGTGGAGGCGTGGGGAGTTGAGAAGAAAGCAAATTCTTAGTATGCATTAGGAAAATTCTGCACGCCACGTCAGTGACCACTTGATCTTGGTTCAGATGACCACTTCAGTCCCTCCCATCCTTGAAATTCGACAAATGAGAATGTGAATTGATGTACTGGTGATAATGACTTGAGATATCAAGACAAAAGGACTTTTGAAAGACTTTTCGCGCAGAAAGTCTGTCTATAAATAGCTTCGTTGCTTCCGAGGCACGTTATGGGGATTAACCAATACATGATTATAAAATGCTTTGGCAAATGAAGTACCTTTCTAATGTTAATAATAATATAATAATAGTGGTAGGATGCTTCTTTTGGCTTTCACTGTTAATTACAGCAATTAGATTTATTTTCCAGACAGGATTTTCAGCAAATTTTCATTTAAGGCTTGCTTTGTTACATCCAATCCATTTTACTTCTGCAGTATGCCTGGCGACAGTGGGCGCGCTCTAGTTTAAAAGATCGTAAAAGAGTGATCCCAGGCACTCTTATATACTCCTACCAGAGCTGCAAATTGCTATAATCTTTTGGGAAAGAAATGTTATGGTGTTAATGCCCAAGACCTTGACCCCATATGACTACTTCAGGGACTCTGTCTTCAAAGGATAATCCTGACTACCAAAAACGCTTTTATGACATAACTATTTATAATCCTAAAAATTTGAATAATACTTAGAAAACGATAAGACTAAATAATGGAACACCCTTTTGTAGTAAACCATGTTCTTGGTTGGTCTTAAAACATATGTCCTAATGTGGACAAATTATATTTTATGATATAAGTGTCAACACAGTTCAAAACATGTGCATATTATTCCACTGTGTAAGAACAAGCCATGTAAACATGGTCAAAATACCAGTGGCAGAAGGACTGGCAGAGGCCATGTTTAGAAATGGAGTTCTTTGTGTTGTGTTTAGAGAAGGAGAAATAAAGGTGATCTTGCTTTTGTTTTCTCTTTACATGTATTTTTGGTCATCTCATTATGCAACCTCTATAATAAAGAAAAAGGGTAGATGAGAAAAAGTAAATATAAAATATACGTGAAAGAGAGTTTACCTAGCAGAAAAGAGTACATTATGTTCCTGTGTCACCTAGATGGAAGGGTGTTTAAAGAAAAATTGGGGGACAGAACTCCAACTCCATTTGCAGATAAACTGGGAAGTATAGCAGCTCTTCAAGGAAACTGAGCTTTTAGTGAGCAGAGGAAGAAAAAACATTACTTAGCAGCTAGGTGTTTACCTCCTGGACAGGAAGGTGGGCCAGCTTGTAAAAATTTAATATTTGTTTGCGAGGATGATCTACTTATTCTCACACACTACAGCCCTGTTGTCAGGAAGAAACTGGGTGATTTCCCTTACTTTGCATATCAAGCAGCTGGGTTTTTGGTGGGTTTTTTGTTTGTTTGTTTGTTTGTTTGTTTTTTTAAACTTCACTGTGCCCCTGAAGAACATGGAGGATAAAACAGCATATTTGTGCCCAGTATCTGCCTCTGATTGTGTTATTGCTCATTCAGGCTTAAACTTATTATAGAAGCAGTTTCCAGATTGTGATGTGAAGAACCTAGGATTTGAATAAAACAAACAAACAGAAGTAGGTTCTGATTCTGGTCTTACCATCTGTGAGCTGGGCAACCCTAGTGAAGTCTCTGTACTTAGAGGTTTGGCTTGTTCTCTAACCTCTCTTAGAGCCCTGTTGGACTATTATCAGAGGTAATCTATGTGAAACATTTCTGTATTTTGTGTATTGAACAAATACAAACCTAGCTCTCTAAGTGTTTTTCAGATATTAATGCATTTCATGCTCCTGTGACTCCATGAGGTGGGTACTATAATTATCCCCATTTTACAGATGATGAAGCTGAGAATCCGTAGGTTGA